TAAGAAATACATTGAAAATGTCAGATGTAAATGTCAATTAAAAATTACAAGGAATTCTGAAAGGAAGGGTCTGTGGGGGGTTGACATTCTTTGACATAGTGGAGTGTCTGCAACCAGGCCTTTGGCAAGCATAGCAGGATCTATGCTGTCAACTCTTATCGTACATAAACTTAGATGCTTGTCTAATCTGAATGAGAAATACCAGGAAAATTGAGGCTGAAGCCTTACAGTAATGTGGATGGAAGCTGAAAACGCTCTATCTGCACTATGTGAGTCTCCTATGACATGACAGTATTTAAGGCACTACAGAAAAATATAAGGAAAAAATAATTTAAACCAAGCCATGTAGTGCTTAATTTACCACTTTTTAAGCTGAGATTGTAACAATCTAGTTGCAAAACAGGCTTAAGTAATAGAATTAAATTATAATGAAAATCCTGATTTCATGTCCATATTAAATACAGTATCTAAGGAGAACAACATATGAAAATATATGCTTAATTAATATCAATCAAATGTAAATGCTAGTATGAATATGGTATGGTCAGTTCTTTCTTTGCTTTGACTAAAATTAGTTTGATACAAAGTAAAACAACCACAATGCTCAGACAAACAGTTAACACTAAAGCAATGCTAGGCATAAGCCATGTTCTCAAGTGAAAATGTCTTCATGCTCTGTTATTCAATCATGCTGTTAAAGAGGAGATGACCAGTAACATCTAAAAACATTCCTTTGTGCTAAAGTAAAAAAACATTGTAATTCTTCATAAATGACCTGTTAATTTTTATACCATTGATATGGTATAAATAAATTCATTAAATAAAGATAATAATTGGTGTCAAATGCTGCTGGAAATAAGCTACATGTATCTAGAACATTTGTGAAGTGCACAGGTGTGCCAGCATTTATCTACGTGTGTATGTATGTGTGTGTGTGTACACATATATCTCTGTTTAGTTCACAGGAGAATATAGAATTTTATCAACTTCACAAATTAAATTATCGAATCAGTAAACCAGTAAAAAACCGCACTCTTCATTGCTTTTAACTGTCTTCTTGTCTATAAACAAACGTATCTTATTCAGTGATGCTGAAGTTAGCAAGTTGGCATGTAAAATTTTTAAGAAGTGAATTATATTTGAAGAAACTCACCTATATATGGTCCTAAACTGCAAAAATCATCATAAACTCTCTCTACCTACATAAATTTTTGTTTAAGATTAAGTGACTAATTCAAGTGGAGCTAGGAGGGAGAGAAAAAAGAGCAGAGCAAAACCCAGCATGTGTGAAAACCTACAAGCATTAGATAACTAAACAAACCCTAAGTCCCTCAGTGTTGCAGCAAGGTCGAAACCTTTCAGCATTGTACCAGTGTGTCAAAATATGTCAACAAACCATCATACTGCAAGAAGAAGAATGACCTTTCAGTTCTTTGTGTTTGGGCTGCCAATGAAGCTTTGGATACTGGGTATGCATGAACAGTTTTCCTAGCCACTTGACAAATGCAACTCCCAAGGTTTCCTCCAAGTCAAGCTGTTATACCACTGGCTTTCAATTCACCAGTACAACTTTTTAAACCACTTGCAATTGGAGAATATTGATCTTGTTATAGAACAGACATCCATAAACCCACAGCATAACTCCCCCTTCCCCTACCACCTACAATCAGACAACAATTACTACCTAGTCTTCACAGTCAAACCATTTCAAACTGCTGAACACTAAAAAACTGGGTATTGTTCTGATGCTCTGATTTAGCCTTCGCCTGCATATGATCCATCCTTAAAGTCCACCATAAATGAATTTGAACAGAACATCCTTCTCAAAACACCCTAAGAACACCTCAACTCAGTTTGAGAGTGAAATACAATCCTCCACATTTTCTTCTGTTTGCGTTTATCTGTAACACCTTTTTAATCTACAGGACTCTATGATAATTTTACTATGACTGCTGGTTATAAACTGAAGTCTCAAAATCAGACATAATGTATTAATTAACAACACATTTAATCATGAATGTAGGCTTCCAAAAAGCGCGGTTACTATTTTAAAATTACCTCTGGGAAACTTGCTTTTATTTATTCTTTAAAAAAAGGAGAGGCACAGGAGTAACAACATTTAGAATACAAGCAAATGGGGAAAGGAATTTAGTAGAGCGATGACTTACCATTCTTATTCAAAGAGAAGATGAAATGCTTCTCTTTCACTGTGTGAAATTACCTTTAGTTTAATATCAATGTCAAATATGACATTTTCCTACGGTCTTCCTCACATACAGTAAAGTTTCTTTAGCTAATAACAGTGTCAAGCTTTCTCCTGGGACTCTCTAGGAATTACATTCCAGAATGTACATGTGCCTTAGCCAGGCTTGCAGAAGACAGAAAATGTAAATTGCTGTATTTGAGTTTATATCTTCTTACAGCAAGTTACTGACAGTGCACCCACTAATTACTATTTGAACTGTGTGTTGCGGATTTCTATATGCCTCTTAGAAAACAGCAGCTATGCCTATCAGCTCTGACTAACAGACTTTTACAGGCAGGAGCAGAATTTTTAATTTCAGTTAGAAAATAATTATAAAATTAAGCACTACTGAAAAAAAAAGAAACAGCAGCATTCATTTAAGCACTAAAATAATTTTCAACATATACTCAGACCCTGTTTTGAAGCACAACCTGTGTTACTTCCTGTTCATGCTCTCCAAATGACTTTTGATCACACAGACTAGTCAACAGTTTTTATCCTCATGGTTACAAGAAATACACCAACGTAGGCCAGTGAACAATGAAAAGTGTGGTATCTACTACACGTGCACGAAGCAATTATATTTCGCACACAGAGCTGTCTTGTTTAACCAGTGGCACTGAAAGCTGTAGCCTGCTCAGTGGATGCCACCACTTTGAGGTAACAAATACAGTGAGCGAAGGGTTTCTGCAAGGACATGAATCATTTAATACTAAGTTTGTTCAGTACATAAAATAGCTTTTTTCTACAACATCACTCTGCAAAATCAGTCTGGGAATATGCAAGACCTAACTCGCCTTTTCCTGTTTCTTTGTTATTGAACATTCTCAGTAACAAAACAGTATCTTAAATTACAACTGTGCAAACCCACTGACAAGGTACACTTTGTACATTTTTAATGTGAAGCTTAATTTGAAGATGAGGTTGCAGTGCAGCACTGCAACTGAAAATTGCTTAACAATACCATTGATGTATGAGCCATAAAAAACCTTGCTAAGCTGTCCCTGCAGAACTCAGAGTAATAAAAAGGTGTTCTTTTGCACTGAGGTGAACAGACATGGTTGACTGCATCTAGGGAGCTGTTCTTTTAAATGAGAAAGTGCCATTCCTTTCCTGTCAGTACAGACCAATTTAAGACACTCACAGATTTAGTTAGCACAGAGTACAGGATTTAATGAAACACACACATAACAGCAAACAAGCCACAGCTACGTTCCAAGCTTTCAGTCAGACTGTGTGCAGAAGTAAACTTACATCTGTGACAGATGTGGGAAAAAAATGGAAACTTCTTCAGTCTCACTTGTACTTTTCAGAGAAACAAAAAAAACGCTGAATGGAAAAGGTCTACAGCTTTCACCTCCATTCCTTCCTAAGTACGTAGACATGTATTTCTATCCACATCTAACAAGCAGCGTTACAGGGTTTCTTTCCAATTTCAGTTCGGCTTTAAGTTCAACCAACAAGGTCAGGTTTACAAAACCCTAAACTATCAGCTGCGTGCCATGATATCTCTATTGTGAACTGACGCTGCTTCTCCAAATGGTAAGAGCAGGTCCTCCTCATGTCAATCAGGAATGTTGCTGCAGAGCGTAATTCCAAACTCTGACGACGTTATACTCAAGATTTGGCTTTCCTTTCTCTGCTGCCTCCTGTAGCATCTGCTTTTAAGGTATTTCCCAAGCTAAAGCTAGCTATTCTCACCTTGACATTTTTCATATTGAGCTGAAATACTAACGGTCATCCTACTAGGCTCTGATGTTGGCACGTGCTGTTTATTTGTTGCATGTTCACACGTTTGTGCCATCTTCTCCACTATCCCTCAGATTTCATTGATGCTCTCTTGTGAACACTGAGAAGACTTTTAAATACATACTTCAAAAAATCCTTTCTAAGGATTCTAATCCATTTTTAAAACTTTCATTTACCTCACATACTCAGGTATGCAATATCTTGCTCAGGGTTTCACCACATACAGAAATGGAATTGAAGATAAAGCATCTTTATGGAAAGCTATATATATTAATCTTTATGGATAGACATAGAAATATATAGAGATATATATGGATATATCCATCTTTATGGAAAGATATATAAATATACACAATAATGACCTTTATAAGAATAAAGCACAACTATTTAACCATCTTTAAAATAAAAGGTTGTTATACCAATACCAACAATGTGTTCAAAGATTCTGTCTGGCATAACTTATGTTCCTGCAAATACCTACTACTTTTTTTAGCTTGAAGATAATTGTTATGACTGTTTAAAAAGTAGATAACATAAAAACCCCCCTTTATTAAATAACCACAGTGAAACAGTATGGTCTTAGCTATAATGGCAACAAGCAATAAAGTTTTTTACACAGAAAGTCCACTTGGTTGGACTGTGAAGATTTTGTAACAAATTTGGCACCTTGCAGGTATTACAAAGCATTACAGAAAAATCTTCGCTCAAAGTCACGTACTAAATATATTCATACATAACTTCAGTACCAAAGTAACTTATTGTGTCATCTGGCGTCACTGCAAAATCACCATATATATCTGCTGCATGTTAACAATTATAATGTGAATTTTTCACAAATATTTTAGCATTGCAGTCTGACATACTAATTAATGACATTTAAAATGCCAGATTAGTAACATGTATATTGTTCACAGGTTTTAATATAAAAGTTGCTAGTACTTTTTCCAGTAACTTTTTTTGAAAATGCAGTCCTACTTATTTCTAAGGAAAAACAACAGAAAAGTACCTGTTCCAGTAGCTCCAAAACTGGTCCTGCAAGTAGGCTTGGTGGCTACTTTCATCACCGAATGAGGCTTTGCTTTCAATCCAGTGAATTATGTGTCCTTCAACAGCTAGGGCGACAGCAGAAAATAAAGTGAACTCTGAAACAAACTCGACAGCCTGTAAGAGTGTGTTTGGGAATATCCTTGACTCCCCAATCTACCACGTAAATCATGCTTGCAACAGAGTTACATCTTTGTAAAAATATATTTAAAATATGCACATAGGACTATTTTTTCAAAAAAAATACCAGAAAATATTTTAATGGATAATGATATCAAGTTCATTTTAATTATAACCTGTTTTAGATATCTGCATTTATTCTAACACAAACAGAATGTAAAGAAGAAGACCAGACCAAGGTGCCATTGCATCTTGCTTTGCTGGAAAGGACGTATGAGGTAAGGAATTGAAAACTTCTGGTGAAGCACCAGAACAGTCAGCTAAGCTGCTAAAGACAGGAACTTCTCACCAATCCAGAGAGGAAGGTATGAAAATGGCAAGAAATTTTATCACATGTATATATTTATATATATATATATGCTTCTTACTTTTGCAAAGTCAGTAATGCTTCACCAGAAAGAAGTTAGGAATAAGAAGGCTTATGTGAAAAAACATGATTTTCTTTCAAAGCTTTGGGATTTGCTTTGGTTCATGTCTTTCTTAATTTCTTGCAGGAGTAAATTTCTAATATTAATAAAAGTCCTTTTTTCAGTAAAAGGAAAATCCTCTCTGAAGTTGATAACCTAATTTTGTACAGAAAAAAGGAGAATCACTGTAAAAGAGCATTCTTCCTCCAAAGCATAATGTAGGGTATCATTACTGAGGTCTCTAAATGTTTCCTGTATTTTGAGTTTCCTATGATATCCACAGCCATGATGTCTCACCCCAAGTTTGACCTGGGATGAGGTACTCAAAGGGCATGCAGACCCAGAAGCACAATACCGAAAGATCAGAAGAGGCTATGGCAGGACATGATTGACCACAGGCTGCAAAATTACTCAGGAATTCTGGGTAAATAACTCATGAAGTCACCATACTAAGAGGTACATGCCACCACCACCCTTCTGTCAGTAACCAAGGTAACTTGTGCAGGCCTATACTGCTATATCCTTGCCCCTTAGCTGGGACGTGAACTATGTGGTCTGTTGAGAAGCAATTTCTAAGAAACGTCTGCCTTTCCTAGCAATGGACCAAGGCAGGAAGAAGAGAATGCAAGGACTGCCATACCTTAGTTCAGATCAGATAACAGGTAGAAAATTATCTCCTGCCAGCTGTAGGTGACTGAAATAATTTGAAGAAAGTAATGCAGCACGTCTATTTGGATTTTTGGAGACAAATCCATGTAAACAAACTAATGGCTGCTTTTAACCTTTTTTCTACTAGGGTAATACTACAAACCTGAGAATTCTTTTGGGTCTTTCCCAGTTTCCATTCTCAAGCATTAAAAAAATTTGCTCCATCTGGTTGCTTTTCTAGTTTTGATTTAATCATGCTCCTGAATAGCTGGGATATAATCTTATCTGTTTCTGATATAAAAGTGAGTATCTTAATATGAAGTATGTATTGTGTACACTGTAGTCCAATTCTTGGGGAATCTTATCAATGGATATGTCTGAAAGGCACATGTTAAGAAGAGGGAGCCAGGCTCTTTTCAGTGGTGCCCAGTGACAGGAACAGAGGCAGTGGGCACAAACTGAAGCACTTGAGAGTCCTTCTGAACATCAGGAAACATTTTTTTACTGTGAGGGTGACTGAGCACTGGCACAGATTGCCCAAAGAGGCTGTGAAGTCTCCATCCTTGGAGATATTCAAAAGGTGTCTGGACATAGTCCTAGGCAACCAGCTTCAGGTGACCCTGCTTGAGCAGATGTCCACCAGAGCTCTCTTCCAGTCTCAGCCATTCCATGATTCTATAATTTCACAATCTTCCCTGTTAATTTTAGACTTCATAAAAAACAACCATTCCTACATCACATCAAGTCCCTGGTAGCTTCCTGAGTCCCTCCACAAATAAGAGGTATGGAAGTGAAGTAGCAATTAACTGAAGACTCTCCAAGTGTGGCTTGACAAGAGTGAACTGCAGATCATTAGGATGCCAAATCTCACTGTTTCAAATACGGAGTGGTTAAGTTACAAAGGCAATTTTTATTTTGTACACATAACCTCTTATTAACATCAGTAACATTCTTCTTTTTTGGAAGCGTGATTAGGAATACAACCATCACTGAGCTAAGAAAGTCTTTAAAAACTTCTCAGGAGACTCAAATACAGAGCTGTTTTTCTATTGGATAACAGGTTATTGTGCTGAAAGACGGTATCTGAAGCACTTCAGAGTAGTGAGACATTTTATAGTACACATTCAGTTCCTTATAGCAAGGAATTGTGAATACAAAGAACAAAAAACTCATCATGTATGACTTCCACACAGTGCTTTCAGCTTTATTTTCTTGATAGACGCAACAGCAGGCAACATCCTAGACAGGTGCTGCATTCTATAGAGGTGAAACAAACTTCTTTTGGCATGAAGGTCAGTTTACAAAAGGTGATTAATAATCCTTTACACTTGGAGAACATGGATGCCTTTTCTTCTATGGCCCAGCTACGAGGCCATCCGATTACCTTGTTACATAGCCTCAAGATCAGAAAACGCAGGTGAACTCTGACATGACCTTTATACATACTTTTATTCTTTGCTATGCAGGCTTTTAAAAAACAACAGAGAACAGCAGAGTTGTATTTAGATGCAAAGTGATGGCAAAAGAATAAACTGCTCAGTGACAAACCTTTACACAATGACCTATGTGTGTAACAGTGACACTCTTAAGACTGCTCTGAGCTGATTTAGGCTAGAAGTTTAAGACAATTATAGGAACTTCAGAGTTCAGTTCATATAGACAGCGAGCAGAGCAGGGAAGAGGGAGTAGAAACAGGGATTTTGTGGTTCTTATTGTTGCTTGGTTTTAATTTTTTTCTTTTTAAAACAAAATTATGAAGAGATCAAGGAGGAAGCACTGGGTAACACTACTTATGATCAAACCTCTCTGACCCAAAGTAGAAGTTCTTAAAATTACTGGGTAACTACTGAAGAAAGAGACTAATCTGTGGTATCCTATAATATACTGAACTTCAGTAGCCATAATATTTTAGCACAAACGCTTCTACACTAAATAAAATAATAAGAATTCTTTAAAAATACTTACCTACTGGCACTTCTAATATAAAGTCTGGTGTTTTGTCATAACCCTTTGCACGAAGTTGATCTTCAGCTACACGTAGAGAGTAAGAACTATTGTTTATAAAACTGTTCTATTAAGTAGACATCAGGATAATTAATTTTATTTTAAATAAGAGTGCAAGAATTACTAATGCAGTCATACATATCATTCTTATGCATGCAATACTGTGTCAGATTAAATGAACCTTCATAGAAAACCTGAAGCATGGATATAAAAATGCTTCTTTGTCATCCCTGCATTTTTATGTCTTCATTATAAACATCATTAATTCAAGCTGTCATACAGTATTTTATAACCCTCAAATATTCAAAATAAAGAGGTATATTCTCTGATTGAAAGAAAAGTCCCCCCACATTAGGAAGCTGCTGAGATTAAGCCTACCAACACCACAAATGTAGATACACTGTAGCTGCTCTCTTGGTTTTATTTCAGCGTTAGCATAAAAGCTGTTAAAAAAGGAAGAAGAAAATTCTTCTTTTCCAGAAATGTATTAAAGGAGAGAGAATCCACAGTTTTAGTTTCTCTTCCATCCTGCATTCTATACAATTTATCTAATTTCAAAACAAAGATTTAGAAATTCTGTTAACATTAACTATACAGCTCCATTGCTTACAAATTTTAGAAACAATAATGAGTGAATAAGATGCAAAGGATGAAAGATGCTTGCTTTTTTTTTTAAATAAAAAAAGGCAAAGCAAGCCCTTAACATTTTCTAAACTACTGTCCTTGATTCCCGATACCATTACAGTGGTGTTTCTGAAACACCATTTCTCCATTACAACTTGGAGTGACCTGGTCATTCAATTCCAGGCATGGCTTTCTGTCTTCACCCAAGCTCAACTAATGGCACTACCTAGTAACAAGTAAGGCTGTGTAGCCCCTTAACACCTACTGGGCTGTTGACATTGCCATGCATCCCATTCGCCTTTCTACATCACCTTTGATTAAAATTAATGGTCCATTCTCATTGTTGGGTAGCTTATTTCCAATCCATTTATCAGGTTAGGACAGTAGTTTCATGGCCAATATTCAGAACTCAGTTTCAGAATACTTTGTGCATACCCTGAAAGGTCAGCAGCTTGAGACCAAGTAACATTTTAATGGCAAGAAAAACACACACTCTTAAAAAAAAAATACTTTAAAAGTGCCTAAAGCAAACTTCCCTTCTCTTTCTCATTGAAGAATATAACTCTGAAGTATTTTTATATATAGTGAACTAATACTGAAAGTGGGACAGGAATAATTTTGGAAAGTTACACATTCACAACTGTGTGTAAACTAAGTGTAAACTGCAATAGCTGTTCATTCTTTTTGACAGCTGTAGTATTTCTCTTGAAATTTGAGAATATTTCTTCACTGTAACCACACTGTGTTGTAAATAGGAGTCTTTGCAATCACACACAGAATCACAGAACGTTAGGGATTGGAAGGGACCTCAACACTTCATTTTATCACACGATCAGATATTACTTTTCTAGGATTTGGAGACAGATCTGACTGTTGGTCATTTTTTCTAAGATTATCAAGTGCACAGAGAAAAAAAGGTTTAGATTTACAAGGTTCTAATTTAACAGAACCTATGAATACTGAGTTTTGTGCCATAATATAGAAATTAATTAACGTTCTACATAATCTTTTAATCTTGATAAAAATAAAGAAAAATCCAGTTTTATCCAACTCTACTGAACTGTAACCTGCTCTTAATTGTTTGAAACTGTCTAGAAAGGAAAACAGGATGATCCAGCTGAAATTGTCCACATAAATAGCAATAGAAAGTTCAGTCTTTTGTATCACATCCAACAAATGCTAGTATCACAAATTCAGGGAAATGTATGTTAAAAACCACCACTGAAAATCAAAACAGATGTGCAAAAACTTCCCGAAGGGTCTACCTGGCAGGTCTTTGAACTGGAGTTTGCATCAGCATTACTTTTAATATTCTTCAGCAGACTTTTCTTCAAGGGTGACCTACTACTTTTAAAATCATTTGACACTAATGTATGGCTTGAAAAAGAGCATGTTTTTGTCTTAAATCTGCTTCTGAATGTTTTCACATGGTTTCTTCTAACATCTTGTATTATGGTAAACATTGGAAAATATGTTAAAACACATTTATTAGTTATGTGAGCTCCCTATCATGCACAGGAGTACAATTATTGGATTGGCCAAAATGTAATAGTGGAGTTTTTTTAATGGATGGCCATAAATGTCTTGAAATGTACCTAACTTCATTTTAAACCACAACTTCACTGTGTCACTTTACAGCTGACAGTTCAAGCTTGGTTTAAAAAAACAAAGTGCACAATTTTCATTTGGCACAGATTTCAAAATGGAAAAATCAAACGGAACACTCTCATCATGTTTTGCTGTATTACTTCCAAAAAGGAAAAACAGCTGTGCAAGCTCATAAAAAGTTACGTGATGTGTATGGCGAAGATGCCGTAAAACTACGGCAGTGTCAGCACTGGTTTGCTAAATTTTGGTTCAGAGATTTTAATGTTAAGGATGCACCACGCTCAGGAAGGCCAATGGAAGTTGATTGTGACAAAATCTAAACATATCAAAATCAAGTGTTGAAAACCATTTAAAATGACCTGGATATGTTAGGAAGTTCGGTATTTGGGTACCATGTGAGCTCAAAGAAATTCACCTCACTAAGCGTGCTGATGTCTGCAATTCTCTCTTGAAACATGAGGAGAATGATCCGTTTTTGAAATGAGCGATAACAGGCGATGACAAACGGATCAGCTACAGCAACGATGAACAAAAAAGATCATGGAGCAAACATGATGAACCAGCTCACAGCACTTCAACAGCAGATAGGACCTCAACAGGACTTCAACACCAAAGGACGGTGATGCTGAGGGACATCACAGCGGGAACCAAAGTAGGAAACAATTCCAAAGATCAGAAACATATCTTGCCATTATAGCTAAAAGTTTTCCCAATATATTTGTGACAAAGACGTGAAAAAAATGAAGCTCATATATAGAACTTCGACATTCCTGGCACTTCAGTATGGCAAGTGCAGCTCTTAGCTTGTTTTGAGAGAATGCTTCCATTGATCATTTTAATCTCAGGTGATGTGATAAAAGACTTGAGGGCTGTGTTTTTACTGAAGAGAGGATGTGGTATACGACGTGCTTCTCATGAACACTGGAGTGCTAAAATGCAAACCCCATTAGTTTATATAGGTTTCAAATAAATTTCTGGGTGAATCTGAAGGTATTACTTCAAAAACGAACTGCTCTAGAAACGGACAAATTATGTCCCAGACCTAAGAAGCTATGTCATGCTCCAAGACTGTACTGGGGCAATTTATATTCACTGTGTCCTTTACTTGCTTTCTTCTCCTGTAATACACTCTGCCCAGCTGCACACAGCTGATACCAGAAACTCACTACTCTTGAAGAATAGTACACTACCATGAAAACTGCAAGAATTCTGTTTCCTGAATGTGTTAAAAAGCAATGGAATTCTTGAGTACAACAATCTAAGACGTAAGTAAGTCATCTTCAACACTGGAATGCTGTCCTACTCGTAGCCTAACAAAGCTTCAATTTGTTGACTTATAGGAATTATTGTCATCTCCTGTTTTCCTGAGGTTTTCTTCAAGTAGTTTTGGAACTTATTTCTCAGAAACGAAAGATTTTATTGCGAGGGGTACAGTGTGGTTCATCTTGCGGATACTTAGGAAAAGCTTTTTTCTATTAAAAGAAAAAAATCACACCTAGAATCTTAGAGACACACACAACGCACAGAAATAATAAATACAGCCACTTAACGTATCTTTAATCATGACTAAACAATACTGAAATATACATAAAAGGTAAGCAATAAATTAAGCTCTCTCATTTATATCTTTATATTCTAATCACTTAAACCATTCTACATATTTTGATGTGACAGCACAAGTTTCTCAGAACATATCTGTAAAGACAAAACTGATGCTCCTCCAAGGTCATGAAACATTAAAATTTAAATCTGATTTGTGTACTACACAAGTTTGCACAAGCCAAATAAAATGATAATTGTCAGGTTGAGGATCCATTAGTAAGTCATCTCGTTCACTCCCTTGTATCGTGACAGGACTGATTTCATTACCAGCATTGATGGATGACTGTCAAGTCTAGCCTTGAATTTTTCATTGAAGGTGATTCCATAACCTTCCCTGGCAGCTTGTTTTACCCTTATTGCTCCTAGAACTGGTTAGTATTTTAACTCAGCATCATCTCTGCAGTTACAGCTTAAGCCTACTACCTGTATCTCTGCTCCTATAGCTAAGTAGGACAAACTACCTCCTCACATTTTCATAACGTCCTTTGCAAGTTTGTATGCAATAGTTATTCCTGTCTCTTTTTCATTTTTCTCTACAACAAAAGAGCACACTAACTCTGTTCCTTAGTTATATGGACAAATCTTTTAAAAAATCTTAATAATTCTTCTAATTGCATACATTTGTTTAAGGTTTCCAAAATCTTAACCTGAATCTAGCTTTAGGAGAGATCATTGTTACTGGTAAAAAACTGCAAAATTCCCCGATCACACAAATTTAGTACAACACTCAATCATTAGCAAAACACAACAATTCGCTTCGTTATTGTCTCATCACATAAGGAATCAAAGATTTCAAACGTCATTGTTAAGTTTATTATCACAATAAGATAAAGTAATCATTGTTTTAATGGCACGCATATACAAGAAATGTAGTGCAGGCTAACAGAAAAAAATGTAAATAACTTCCTAACTGATTAATACTTAAAATTTTTAACTTGAAATATAAGGATTGTGG